TTGCTTACATCTGCCTTTTCTCCAGAAAATCCAGTTCCCACAGCTGGGGGCTGGAGCACCATGACAAATCAAGTTGGGCTCAGCCTGGCCCAGGCAGGAAGAGGGGATGTGCAGGGAAAAGGCTGCCAGGCTGCCACCAGCACCCACCCTCCTGCAGCCCCCCACCAGCCCCACCAGGAGCTGGGTGCTGCCCACAGGGATGTTCTGGCACCAGGAATGGGAGCAGGAAAAGCAGCGTGGGGAGAGGAGATCCCACAGGATTTCTGTGCTGGGGGCACTTGGAGCAGGGTGTCATCCCAGCTGGGAATGGAGATGGGAGTGAAGGCAGCACCAGTGAGGGCTGCTCCCGCCCTGGTGCAGGGAATGCCAGAACCTTGGAGATCTGCTCAGGTTGTAGGATCTGGAATGATGGAATGGGTTGGGATGGAGGGACCTCAGAGCCCACCCAGTGCCAGCCCTGCCATGGCAGGGCCACCTCCCACTGTCCCAGGAGCTCCCAATGTCCAGCCTGGCCTTGGGCACTGCCAGGGATCCAGGGGCAGCCCCAGCTGCTCTGGCAATTCCATCCCAGCCCCTGCCCACCCTGCCAGGGAACAATTCCTGCCCAAGATCCCAAGATCCAGCCCTGCCCTCTGGCACTGGCAGCCATTCCCTGGCTCCTGGCCCTGCAGCCCTTGGCCCCAGTCCCTCTCCAGCTCTGCTGCCCTTCCTACCCCCAGACACCTCGCTTGCAGGATGAGTCCTGCTTATTCAAACAGTTCACTCATTTCTGCCTGAAGTCCATGAACAATCATGTTCATAGTCAGGAAGCCTATGAAAAGTCATGAAATATCTGGGGGTTTGGTGACGCTGAGCCTGCCCAGTCTCCCTGCAGGGAGAGAAATCCTTTGGGATTTGCTGTGAATCTTCTCCTTCCCAGTGTGTACCTCGGCAGCAGGGACAGAATGCCTCTGTCTTTGGGCGTCGTGACTGAGAAAGGGCATTTATGGCTCACAGGCGCTTCTAACACCTTCCAGTGCGTCAGGGGCAGGGACTGGAGTGCCCAGAGATGTGGGTGAGGCAGAGACAGAGCACGGTGCAGGCTGGGTGCCAGAAATGCTGGGATGAACAGCTTTGCCCGATGCTCTCCCTTAGAAGCGAGCGCATCCTTCCAGCCGAGCTTTTGCCGCGTCATGCTCTGCTCAGATGTGCTTCCCATGCCAAGAACAAACCCTGCCCGAAAGCCCTGCTCTGCAGACACCTAAACCCACCCAGGACTCTCATCCAGGAAATTAAGTCGCTGCTCTTGGCAGAATAGGGCCCCCCCAAATTGCAGAGTGGGTGGTGCAGGGTGGGAGGGACACGAATAAACAAAGTCTGGACAGGCCTTGATAGCAAAATGTTTATCTCAAAGCTGCCCCCACCCAGCTGGCTGCTGGGCCTGTGTGACTCAGCTGATTTTGGGTAGGTTTTATGCCAGGGATGAGCCAGAGTAGATGAAAGTCTTCAATTTGTTTATCTTCCCCTCAGAAAAATATGAATCCTCTAAGTTTCCCTCGTCTAAGAGAGACATGCAGGTTCTACAGTAAAATTCTGAGCAGTTCCTCCGTGCAAAGTCCCCGGTGTGTGACCCCGGGGGTGGCAGGACTTTATCAAGCCAGCATCCTGAAAGCACAATTTCCAGAGGCAAATCCCACACAAACCAACAAAACCACCCAGAACAAAGGCAGGGGTGCTTTCCGTGACCCTGCTGAGGCTGACGGCCCAGCCAGCCGTGCCCCCAAGCCCTCCATCCCCCCAGGGACACTCAGACGCAGACGAGACTTCACAGGATGAGCTTTATTTGGCTGTTAGAAGCTGTTGGCTCGGGCTGGCAGCGCGCTCCGTGGGCTCCGTGGGCTCCGCGGGCGCCGCCAGGTTCTCCTGCGGCTCTTCAGTGGTACTTGCGGGCCAGAGCGTGGGCAACCACGCGCACCAGCTTCTGCCAGGCAGCCTGGCAGTCGGGAGTGAAATCCTTGCCGAAGTGGGCGGCCAGGACGATGATCAGGATGTCACCCAGGAGCTGTGGGGACACGAGCAGGTTAGCAATGCCCTGTACGTCCCCACACGAGCGCTCACATTACAGCCAGGGAAGCCTCCGGGAAATCTGCAGTCTTAAAAACCTCCCCCAGCTCCTTCTTAAGATGCACCTTAAACTTGGGAAGAGTAACTAAAAATTATTCAGGGTTTTTTGGACTAAATTTTTCTTTGTCCCTTCTGGCTTTGTTTTGGAGTTTCTCTCGAGCAGAAGACCCAGCCGAGCTCCCGGCACAGCAGGATCCAGCACTTGGCCCTACAGAGCCCTGGCACAAACAGCGAGCTCATGCTGGCCCAGGGGATTCCTGCCAGCCCCAGCCCAGGGACAAACAGTGGGGTTAATTCCCCACTGAGATACCTTCAGCCAAAGTTCTCTCTCGGTAGATCCTCTTTGGCTTTTGGCATCCAGCCGCTACCTCCTGCTCCTCACTCATCTCTCTGTCCTCCTCTGTGCCAGACTTTGCTCTTGCTCCTTCTCCCCCCGGCTCAAACCTCTTCCTGCTCAACAGCTGCTTTCACTTTGTTCTCCATTCCCTCGCTGACACCACGTCCTCCCCTTCCCGTCCCCCTCCCGCAGCCCCTGCCACCCCTCTGCCTTCCCAGCAGGCTGCACCACATCCCTTCCCTCTGTCCCCCTGCATCCCCCCACGGCAGCCCCCAGCCCCTTCCCTCCTGCCCTGGGCTCAGGCTTAGGGGAGACGCTGCAATGGGGAGCTCAGGGCACAGCTCACCCTGAAGTTCTCGGGGTCCACGTGCAGCTTGTCGCAGTGGAGTTTGCTCAGCTGGGAGAAGGTGTTCTTGATGCTGTCCAGGTTCTTGACGGCATCCCCGAAGGAGGTGAGCACCTTCTTGCCATGGGCCTGCACCTTGGGGTTACCAATGATGGCCGTGGGGCTGGACAGGTTCCCGAAGTTAGAGAAGAACCTCTGGGTCCAGGGGTAGACGATCAGCAGCCTGGGGAGAGACACAGACTCGGTCACACCGACGCTCCCGTGACAGGAGAGGTTTCCCCGTGCAGGCAGCAGGTTCCCGGAGCTGGACCTACCTGGCCAGGGCCTCGGCACCGCACTCGGCGACATTGACCTTCCCCCAGAGGCCGGTGATGAGCTGCTTCTCCTCGGCTGTCCACTGCACCATGGTGCTGGCAGGTGGGTCGTGTGGCGGCTGCGGAGGAAGTCTGGGCTCTTGCTCCCGAAGGATGGCACGCTGGGCAGCCGCTCTCCCGCCCCGCTTTTATGCGCTGCGCCGCGCCCCTCCTCTCCCCCGAGCGCCCCTCCATTGGCTGGGCTGGGGGGCCCAGCCTGGCGCCCCAGGGAGGGGAGCCAGCATCAGGGTGGGGCCCCAGGGCAAGGTGCCCAGATCCAGCGCTGGGCTGGGCTGGCCACCCGCCCTCCCGGCCTCTGATTTGCAGCCCTGCTGCAGGGTGGCTTTATCTCCACACAGAGTCCCAGCAGAGGATCCAAGGGGAGCCCCTTGGATGGTGCCCCCCCATGAGGCAGCAGCTGCGGACTTGGGGCTCTTGGGCTCTCTGAATTCACCAGTTTCTCCTTCTCCTCTTCTTGCAGGACCTGTGAGGCTTTGGGCACTGCCTCTGCTCTCCCGTCAGCTCTTTAAGAGTTTGATTAACTTCAGGATGACACTGCTAAAAGCACGGCAAGGCCTTGCAGACAAGAGGGAGCTCCTGTCTCAAAGATCCTCTTGGCAAAGGTCCTGGAAAGGAGAGCTTATAACCCAGGGCAAACCAAGTGCAGGGAGCTGGCTCACAGGGCATGAGGAGAGCTGGGAAGACTGGGATTACTGGGATCCCACAGAATCCCAGGATCCCTGGTGTTGGAAAAGCCCTCGCAGCCCAGGGAGTCCCAGCTGTGCCCGATGCCCACCTTGTCCCCAGCCCAGAGCCCTGAGTGCCACGTCCAGCCCTTCCTTGGGCACCTCCAGGGATGGGCACTGCAAAGCTCCCTGGGCAGCCCCTGCCAAGGCCTGAGCTCCCTTTCCAGGAAGAAAAATCATCTGCACAGATGTGCAGCCTGAGACAGTGCCTGACCCAGGGGTTCCACAGCCCGGTGATCAGTGGTGTTCCTGAGAAGTGGGAGAGGCAGCCGGGACTCCTGGGGCTGATATTCTGCTCCTGCGCCCAGCTGGAGGCGGGAGGTGGCGTGCAGGGGACAGGGATGGAGCTCATGGGGCACAGGAATGCCCTGGTGGGGTCTGGATGACCTTGGAGCAAAGTGTTTGTGTTCCTGCTCCTGCAGGAGGGGGCTTGGCGAAAGGATAGGGGTCAGGCTGGGGGTGACACTGTTCCCCAGCCCTCTGCAGCCAACACTGGTGTTTCAAGGAATCACAGGATCCTAGACTGGTTTGGGCTGGAAGGGACCTTAAATCTCATCCAGTCCCATGCCCTGCCACGGGCAGGGACAGCTTCCAGTAGCTCAGGTTTTGTCCAAATCCCATCCAACCGTGTCTGTTACATTCTGCCTTTGCTAATCTAAGAGTGACTTTAAAAACCCCCACGCCAAGAGAAGGCCACATGCAGGAAGTTACGAGCCATGGCCCCAATCTCCCTGGCACTTCTCCACACTTTTGTACAGTTCCACTCCACTCACTTTGTGAAAGTCCTAAAACATTAAACCAAGCAATGTTACCTAATGTGTCCAAAAAGTGCCAGAGTCTTTCTGTTTGTATTTTGTGGTGTTTATTAGGGTTTTGTCCTGAACATTCCCCTGGGATCTCCACCTTAGACAAGTTTCACTTGGACAAGATCGTGGCTCGTGTTATCCCATGTTTGCGAGCTCCCCCAGCCCCGCTGTCCCTCCATCCCCATTCCCACAAAGAGCCAGACATCTCCTGGTGGCTGGAGCAGCTGGTGTTTATTTGGAGGTCAGAGGCCAGCAGAACCCGAGGAGGACTCCCCAGGAGGGTCTCCAGGCAGGAGGGCTCCCAGGAGCTCAGTGGTACTCGTGGGCCAGCGCGTGGGCCACCACACGGACCACCTTCTGCCAGGCGGCCTGGCAGGCGGGGGAGAAGTCCTTGCCGTAGTTGGCAGCCAGGACGATGATGAGGATGTCACCCAGGAGCTGGCAGTGGAGGGAGAAGAAGCTGTCAGCTGGTGCTGCCCCACGTCCCTCCCCAGCCCTGCTGCGGTCTCTGGGGACGTCACAGCAAAGCAAGGGGTGGATTTATCCCGGCCCCGTGCAGGGCACCGGGCTCCTGGCACAGCTCCTGCTCTGGCACGTGCCGGGGTCCCTGGGTGTGCTGGATCCTTCCCCCAGCACCTTCCCTCGCCTGCTCTGCACTATCCTCCCTCACCTTCTACTGGGTTGACCCCTTCCTTTTCCATCCCTACCCACCCTGGCTGCCCCCGGGCTCAGAACCCTCCTGCCAAACTGGCTGTGCTTTTTTTCCCTTCTTTTTTCCCCTTCCCTTCTTTTTCCTTTCTTAAAAAACTTAAAAACTCTCTAAGTTTTTCCTTTAAACTCCTGTGCGTGGAGTTTAACCACTCCCTCACAGCCAAGCTCAGCTCTTCCCTCTAAATCCCATCTCAGTTCCTTCCCTTCTGGCTGCTCCAAGAAGTTCCTTCTGACCGGGACACGTTTGTCTCTGCATTTCTCCCCGTTCAGCTGCCTGGCTGCCTCCTCTCACAGACCCCAGCCCCAAAACTCCTCTTTGTTCCCCCAAACATGACTGTCCCGTCCCCTCCCCTGCCCCTATCCCCCCCAGGCTCTCAGGCAGCCCCAGGGTTTCTCTCGAGGTCTCACTGACGGTCAGACCCCTCTGAGACCCCCGAAGCACCTCCAGAGCTTCAGCAGGAACCTCAGGCTGGAGCTGAGCATGGCTCACCCTGAAGTTCTCGGGGTCCACGTGCAGCTTGTCGCAGTGGAGTTTGCTCAGCTGAGCAAAGCATTTCTTGATGCTGTCCAGGTTCTTGATGGCCTCCCCGAAGGAGGTGAGCACCTTCTTGCCGTGGGCCTGCACCTTGGGGTTACCAAGGATGGCCGTGGGGCTGGACAGGTTCCCGAAGTTAGAGAAGAACCTCTGGGTCCAGGGGTAGACGATCAGCAGCCTGGGGAGAGATGGAGGGACACAAACAGACATAGAGACACAGATGTTCCAGGGAGAGGTTTCCCCGTGCAGGCAGCAGGTTCCCGAGCCGGACCCACCTGGCCAGGGCCTCGGCACCGCACTCGGCCACGTTGACCTTGGCCCAGAGGCCGGTGATGAGCTGCTTCTCCTCGGCTGTCCAGTCCACCATGGTGTGAGCAGAGGGGCTGCCCTGAGCGATGGACGTGGTCCCGAGGCTGCCCCGCGGATTTTTATACACGGCTTGGCCTAATCTCAGCCCACGGAGCCACGGCTCGGGGCTGGGGAGGGAGTGGGGCTGCACGAGCAAAGATAGCGGCTTTGGAGGCTGTCCAAGGGGGAGAGAGGCCCCTTCCCCCTCTGTCTCGGAGTGGACAAGCATCACCTCGGCCACGAGCACAGGTGGAGCTGCGGCTCCAGCCCTGGGGACCCCAGGGTGCCACTGGCACCCGCCTGGGGAACGCCATCCCCTCCTGCCAAGTGAACCCCTCAAGGTGCTTTGCACATGGAATCATGGAACCCCAGACCTTAAAGCTCATCCAGTGCCACCCCCTGCCATGGGCAGGGACACCTTCCACTGTCCCAGGCTGCTCCAGCCTGGCCTTGGGCACTGCCAGGGCAGCCTCAGCTTCCCTGGGCATCCAGAGAGCCTCGCCGGCACTGCCTTAGTGCCCCGGGGCACTTACCCGCAGACATTAGCCACAAACGTGACTTTAAACTCCACGAGAAAGAATTCCAAGGGCTTCTGAATTTGAAGATTATTGAGCCATGGAGAAATCTTAAGGACATATGCTGTTCTGGGCTAGCCCAGAGGCTGTTTGCAGCAGTGGCCACTGGTCCATGGCACCATCAGCCCCACTGAGGCAGATACAGCCCCCAAGTGCCTGCGAGGGTGGCAGGGTGAGCCTGGTCAGGACTGCACCAGCTCTGAGAAGTCCTGGACCCTGTGAGACCTGGAAAAAACCAAAGGCAAGCACAGCCCAGACAGTCCCAGCCTTGGGCTCACCCTGGTGCTTCATTTGTTTTTATAAGAAAGAGTTAATTTGAAGTATGATTTTAAATGCCCTGGAGGCAGCAGCGTGGCTGGGAGGCTTTGGAGCTGCCAGCACAGGGACTGCCGGCTCAGGGAGCTCTCTGGACACTGGCTGGGAGGGGAAATGTTCATCCCAACGTGCTGAGCAGGGACAGCTCCTGTAGCTCGTTCTGAGTCTGCAGAGTCAAAAGGAAATCTCCTTTTGCCCAGTGCAACCCAGCAACACCTGACAGCTTATTCCCAGCTGGTCCCCAGACAGGAAAGCAGGCCCTGCTCTCAGCCTGGGATGGATTTCATCATGCTCAGGACCCTTCCCTCAAGCATTCTTCCAGCTGGGTGTTCCCTGTGGTGTGGGTGGAAGATCTCCCAGCTCCTGGAATCACAGGTTCATGGAATGGTTTAGGTTGGAAGGGATCATCAAGATCATCTCATTCCACCCCCCTGCCACAGGCAGGGAACCTTCTGCCAGACCAGGCTGCTCGAGTCTTGGCCCCTTCCACGGACAAGAACCTTCCCTTTCAGAGACAAACCATCCCAACCAGGGCCAGAGGCAGCTCCAGTGAGGGCCCTTCTGCCCCAAGCAGAGTTTCTTGGTCCCTGATTGCAGCAGTGTCCCCGCCAAGCTTTACAGAGCCCTTATCAGCAGCAGTGGCAGCTGTGCCCAGCTCTGCTCTGGAGCCAGGCCAGCCTCCACTCTCCTCCAGAATATGCAGGGCCTTGTGTCTTAAGCCAGCAGGTCCTGAGGGTGTCTTTGCTCCTGGTTTAAAATCCTAGAAGGGTTTGGGTTGGAAGGGACCTCAGAGCCCACCCAGAGCCACCCCAGCCATGGCAGGGACACCTCCCACTGTCCCAGGAGCTCCCAATGTCCAGCCTGGCCTTGGGCACTGCCAGGGATCCAGGGACATCCTGCATCCAGGGCTCTCCTGTGCTCTCCTGACCTGTTTTGGGTCAGGTGGGCTGGTGGTATTTGTAACTTTGCTCCGTCACACCAGAGAGGGAGGACTGTCACTGGCAGGGTGGGACACGGGCCCCCTGGCAGCACCCCCTGTCCCTGGGCAGCAGGAGCAGCCAGGCACAGCCCAGCCAGCAGGACGTGCTCCTGTCACCACCGGGACATGCAGGAGAGGGGCAGCACAAAGGTCAGGATGTGGACACTGAGATGAAAAGTCACGGCCCCCAACCAGGGACCCAGCCCTGGACACCCCAACAGGCCTGGGGGTGCTGCTGGGTGCCCCCACCATCCAGCTCTGTGTTGCTGGAAAATTCCAAGGCTTTGAACTGGAATGCTGAGAATGGTCTGACCTCCTGCAGTCCTGCTGAAACGCCCATTTGCTGGGTGAAAGGAGAAGCTGTGCTACAGGGAAGCTGGGTTCAGATTTTGGGCTTTTTTCCTGATTCTTTTCCCCCTTGGTGCTGCCGGCAGGGCTGGACCTGCCTGGCTGTGCAGGATAGAGGGGTTAAATGCAAATCCCTGCTCTATCAGCAGAAAGGCAGAATATTCATTCCTAAGTCATGCAAAGCAAGGGTTTCACCGTTTGAGACACTAACATGCCTGTCTTTCCTTGTTGCTTTTTAGGCTGTTCCTGGAAACATTGCTGAAATGGAGATGCCTACATAGAAACTTTCAATTCCAGTGAAAAGATGTGCTTCCATTAAGCCAAAATGAGTAAAAAAAGGCTCTAGCCCATCCTATCTGAAAGCTGCCCTCATCCCCTGCTCTTGGGATCTTACACATTCCAGATATCAAACTCTGATCAGGATGCACCAGTTTCCATCACTGATGCAGAAACTACTTTTGATCAATTTAATACATCATAGCAAACTATGGAGGTGTAAATTTCTGCCTAATCAGTGAATCTCTATGAATTTATATCCTTGCAAATATCCCAGGAGGAGAGGCCCAGGGCCCACAGAGACACAGAACACAAAGAATTGCAGAAAATGTAGTTTTTATTGCCTGTCACAGACACAGATGCCTCCCGAGGCTTTAGTGGTACTTGTGGGCCAGGGCATGGGCCACCACCCCGACCAGCTTCTGCCACGTGGCCTGGCAGGCGGGGGTGAAGTCCTTGGCGAGGTGTGTGGCCAGGACGATGACCAGGATGTCCCCCAGGAGCTGAAGAGGGGAAGGCAAAAGGGAAATCAGGTCAGCAGGTGCCGGCCCCCCTCACCCTGCACAGCCCCCCGGCACCAGGGGACCCCAGCCCCCAGAGGGTCCCGGGGCTGTGGCCAGGGAAGCTCTGTCAGCTGCAGGACAAGAGCCCCGTGCTGGCCCTGGACTCAAGCATCCACCTGCTCCATCTCTGCTTCCCCTCACATTTGCCAGCTGCTAGACTTTTTTCTGCCTTGCCTTTTCCTGCTGTGAATCCCCACACCTCCTTCAGCTGAGGGTCAGTGCGAGGTCCACCTTCTACCTCCCCAAAACCAGGCTGAAGCAGAGGCTGAAGCAGAGGCCAACATCCTGCTCCTTTTCTCCAGCCGTGCCTGCACAGGCCCCCAGACTTCTAGAGAATCTCTCTGTGTTTGTCACCAAATTTGTCCCTGCAGTCCAGAGCCTGGTATTGCCCTGCATGATTGAATTCCCAGCCTTCCCCTGTCCCCCAGTGCCCACTCCAGCCAGCCATGTCCTGTTTGCTAACTGAACCCAATAACACAAGTTATTGACGCCTGTTTGAAACCCCCCGGGCACTGAGGTGCTCTGAGGAAGGAGGAACAGAGGCTCCAAGGACAGCTCACCCTGAAGTTCTCGGGGTCCACGTGCAGCTTGTCGCAGTGCAGCTCGGACAGCTTGGAGTAGGTGCCCTTGAGGTTGTCCAGGTTCTTGATGGCCTCCCCGAAGGAGGTGAGCACCTTCTTGCCGTGGGCACGCACCTTGGGGTTACCGATGATGGCCGTGGGGCTGGACAGGTTCCCGAAGTTAGAGAAGAACCTCTGGGTCCAGGGGTAGACGATCAGCAGCCTGGGGAGAGACACAGGGGGAAGCAGGTGGTTAAAGCCCCCTGACTGGGGCGGTTTCCCCGTGCAGGTGAGCGGGGCGGGTTCCCGAGCCAGACCCACCTGGCCAGAGCCTCAGCACCGCACTCCTCCATGCTGAGCTTGGCCCAGATGCTGGTGATGAGCTGCTTCTCCTCGGCTGACCAGTGCACCATGGTGGTGGCTTTGCTGGGCTGGACACAGAGCCTGGAGCTGAGCCCAGACCCTGCCGGGTTTTTATCCCCTGTCCCGGCGCTGCCCGGCCCCTCCAGCGGGGCCATTGGCTGGGCCGGGCGGGGGTCCCAGCCAGGGGCTGGCCGGGCAGTGGTCACTGCAGTGAGCTGTGTCATCAAGAAAAGCCCTGTGAGCCCTTAACAGGCCAGCCCAGGATACAGGAGCTCTTATCTCCCTCTCCTTGGGCCCTGGCTGCCTGTTCACCACAGGCATGGACATCCCACCCATCCCTGCAACAGGCACAGATCCCTCAGAGAGGGGCTTTAGAGTCATGGGATAGTCTGGGTTGGAAAGGACTTTAAAGCTCATCTTGTTCCGTGTGCCACAGGCACCCTCCACTATCCCAGGTTGCTCCAAGCCCAGTCCAGCCGGGCCTGGGACGCTTGCAGGGATGGTGGCAGTGAAGCAGAGGTCACCCCCTCAGCTCCAGGTTTCCAGGAACACCTGTGTGGGCTGCCAGGGTGGGCTGCAGCTGTGAGCAGGCTCCTCTGCTCTGTCTGTGAGCCCTTCAGTGATCTCTCCCTGCTGGGAATTAAAAGCCGTGCACAAGGACAACAGGACCCTGCCGTGTCACAGCCCCATCAGCAACATCCCCCGGGCCAAGGTGTGGCTACAGGCACACCTGGACTCTGGCTGTCACCTGCACAGCTGCTCTCCTGCCTTCCAGGCCTCCAGGGAAGCTGTGCTCCCATGCTCAGAAAGGCAAAGCCAGGATGCTTGAGGTGTCAGGCATCCAGACCAGGCTGGATGGAGCAACCTGGTCTGGTAGAATGTGTCCCTGCCCATAGCAGGGAGCTGGAACTGGTGATTATCCAACCCAAACCATTCCACGATTCTTTGGATCTGTGGCTTTGCGTCTGTCTGTGGGCAGTTTAAGAAACCTCATCCAGACCTCTGAAATCTTCCAGTTACAGACTGATACTGGACCATTGATCTGAGAAGGCTGG